GATGCAGGTCATAAGAAACTGTGTGTTGTTTCGTTGTATGGTCATCCTGATAATTTTGCAACAAATTACCATTTAACTGTTCAAAAGGAACCATTTATGATGTATTTCATGTTCGACTTTTTCATACTTGATTTTGGTGATTATGTGTGATCTATTAAAATATGAATATTTCTAATTTCTCATGTACTAATCTTTCATCCCCATGATTAGTGCACTGTGATATATGATAGTAATTATTACTTGTTTTTCGCCTCGAACGTTCATTTTTACTGACACCCTTGTGATTTTTGCACGATTATATCTCTTGATTCTTTAAGTATCTTTGTCCAGAAGGCAAACACTTTAAATTTTCTCTCTATCAATTAAGACGTGAAAAATTAATACCTCACTGAAAAAGTATTCATTTTTCTGGGCAATTCCTGAAGGATCGCTTTGATCTATGAAAACCAATAATCTTCCCTCAAACGCAATTGGCAGACTAAATCAGAACTTTTTGGATTTCAAATACATGACTAAATATGATTCAGCTCTGTACCAAATTATCTAGCAGCTGAAACTCTGTAAGCAGAACATTACAGACAATGATAAAATTGATCGAAAAAATTCTTTTCCCTATTCCACGCAAGTAATATTGTACTCCAGCAGCAGTACATGACCAAGAATTGCACTGAGCATTCTGAATTGATTAGTAGTCGCAGAGAAGCACAACCAATTGATGATTAGAAATCATAATGTCATACTAGTTGGCTTACGAGTTGTGTTTGTAGCACATGCTACAATTCAGAAAATTACTTATACGCGTGGTCAAGGGGGAGGCTATGAACATAGTAGGGGATCTTATCCTGTAGCCATTTTTGGATTTTAAACCCTCGACTGAATACAATTCAATAAGTAACCTTGTACTCCTACAATAGTACAACTAAAAGCATTATGAACTAATCCTTGCATTAGTAGTTGTTAAAAACACAACCAGCTGTTGTGAGAAACCATAATGCAAGTTTAATTGGTTCAGTCGTAGTGCCTGAAGCACATGTCATAATTCAAACTAATATTCATATGCTTGGACGAGGGGGAGGTAATGGATCTTATCGAGGTAGTCAAGGTAAACTATTTGGTTTCTCTATATTTGGATTATATGCATTTGTCAGACAATTTTAATTTATCTTGATTTTTGCTTTAAACTCTTATAAAACTATGTGGTTTTTATTCATATGTGTATATTTTAGAATTTGTCTGACCTAAAATACAACATGTTGCGATGAGTTTGAGATTTAGGGACCCAAATTCTTTTAAATTCTGGCATGAGCGATTGGGTCATCTTGGGCAAAATATGATTTGTCGGATTTCCTTAAATTAAATGGGGCATTCAAACCAAATCTGACCAACTGCATATCATAAGTTTCCCCCTTTATCTAATACGTGGTAAAGAAGCAAAACATTTCCCATCTGCGTATTCTTTATTTGCAGTCCATGTTTTTATATCACCACCATAGCATACCTCTATGGGACCTCGGTGAAGGTACATATATTATTTATGAAACTCCGTCAATAATTTAGTACCTATGACCCATGTTAGGAGATTAATTTATAATTTGGTACGCTGACTGCATTTTTATTGAAGATCAATTCTCGACATTAGGGGGAGATTAGTGCCCAAAATACAAAATAATGTCAAAAAATTCCATTGGTGAAAAAGATCTTCAATATTTATATCCACGTACTAGTCAAACTGAACCAGAAGTTCACATGATAATCTGCTAAGAAAAGAGTGACTAAGCCACATATTCATGTTGAATATATCATTGATGATTTGGTATGCCAGAAGCATATTGTGCCAGAAGCATATAAAACATGTTAGTGTAAAAGATAAAAGTCCGTGGCAAACTAAATTATATATAGAAAGACAGTCACTCTCATAACCTCCAGAAGAGGTTCATCCTGAAGATGGAATCTCCAGTAAATTGCACGTGCACTTGATAATCACAATATTGGAGATGCGGAACGGTCAAATCCAATTGTTAAGGGAAATGATAAGGATTTGGTTGACATAAAATAAGCTTTAAAGTGGCCACGAATTTGTGAAAAAGGAGAAATATACAATAGAAATATAAAAGTTGTCGACAACATAGTTGCCTCTATAGTTGCTCTTACTATCTCCGAAAATAATCTGGATCCAGAACCTAAGTCGGTAATAGAGTGCTTGAAGCATTCGGACTAGGTGAGATGGAAAGTGGCAATTGAGGCTGAGCTGAACTCGCTAAAGTATTTTGAACCTATAGTCGATATATCCCTACAGGATATAAATGGGTCTTCGTAAGAAAAATAAATGAGAATTGTAAGGTGGTGAGATGTAAAGCGAGATTCATAGCTCAATGGGTTCACGCAGAGACCCGACATCGATTTAGATGTAAAATATTCTCCTATTAGTGATTGTATTACGTTCCGCAAGTTAATACTTATGGCAGAAACTATGAATTTATATATGCAGTATATGTACGTCATGACCATATTTTAATATGAGTCATTACACGCTAATATTTTTATATGAAAGTCCCTGATGGACTTAAAATTCCTGAATTAAGAGAAAACGAGAATCGCAACATGTATAGTATTAAATTATAAAGGTCGTTATACGACTTAAAACAGTCGGGTAGAATGTGGTATAACCGACTGAGTGAGTTCCTCCTGAAGAGGAGATATGCAAAATAATGATGTCTGCCCTTGTGTGTTTATAAAGAAATTCGAAAATGACTTCTGTATTATATCAGTCTATATTGATGATATAAATATTATTGGAACGCACAAGGAGCTTACAGAAGCTAGCTCATGCCTAAAGACGGAGTTTGAAATGAAAGACTTGTGAAAAACCAAGTTTTGTCTCGGCCTACAGAGATGATATTACCCCCACTATCCTTTATGAGGATAATGCAGCTTGTGTTGCATAAATGAGTAGTGGATATGTAAAAGGAACCATGATAAAACATATTGCGTCAAAATTCTTTTATCCACATGAGCTCCAAAAGAATGGCGAAATCACCATCGAAAAAGTTCGCTCAAGTGACAATCTTGCAGATTTGTTCACTAAATCTCTGCCTACATCAACTTATGAGAAATATGTTCACAATATGCATAGACTTGGAAGACTATCTTCTTCATGGGGAGCAAATTCTTAAAGAACAATCCTGAAGATTGGGCCCTGAAGGTCTATTATCATAATTTGCCCCTTTTGCTAAGTTTTGTCCCACTGGGTTTTTCTTAGCATAGACTCAGAAGATTGTCATCATCAGGGGGAGCGAATTTTCAACGTAATCCCGAAGATTATGCCTTGAAGGACTATAGTTGTACTCTTTTTTCCTTTTGCTAAGTTTTGTCCCATAGGGTTTTCTTAGCTAAAGGTTTTTAATGAGGCAACTAATGCAACACAAGTTTGGATCCCGAAGATCTATAGTTGTACTCTTTTTCCCTTTACTAAGTTTTGTCCCACAGGGTTTTCTTAGTTAAAGGTTTTTAATGAGGCAACTAATGCAACAAGGATCTACTAATGTCGTGTACTCTTTTCCTGGACTAGTTTTTATCCCACTGGGTTTTTCTAGCGAGGTTTTTAACGAGGCATTGACATCATGTAGTAATGTCCAAGGGGGAGTGTTGTAAATATAAATACAATGAATGTGGACATTACTAGAAGAAGACTCTTCACCTACTTGTGACTTTTAGTATTCTCTTCCACATCTATATAATGTAATCCATGGAAGACAAAATGTATGGAGAAGAAATGAAGATGAATAAAATGAGATGATCACTTTCTCCCTATCTCTTTTTCTTGTTTATTTACTTTTACATTTCATGTTCGATTCTTACTTTTGATATGTGATGTATGTAGATACAACAACGAGATTACAACAATAATATTAATAGTTAATAAGAATAATTAATGTGAAATAATTGATTCTTATTATATACTTAGTCAATTAATAAATTTACTAACTGCAATAATCTTATCTGCATAATATACAAAATTAATTAGTTAGTCACGGTATGAGATTTAACAACATGTCCTTCTTGATCATTTGATAGCTATCACAACCTTATAAGTTACTGATTTACCAAACACATAACTACACACATCCTTATAAGTTAAGGATTTTACCGAGCATTTTCTTTGCTTTTTTACATCCTTATAATGAGCTATGAAAATAAGTAATAAGGAACTTACAAGTTAACGAAAAATAAGTAGCGGCCGGACATGCTTTTAAAGCCATACTTAAAGCAGGGATTAGTGCTCATAAGTTATCATAATTATTATTCGTGGCTTTTTCTACATTTGTACGTGGAAGTTGACGACGAATCATCAAACTAGGCATCAATAAGAAAATCTTAACCCCAAAAGAAGCAGGAAATTATTGCGAGCAACGTTATTAAAACGGCCAGCTGCCAAAAGTTTGATTCGCTCCAGATGCTAGTATAGTGCGGTTTCCACTAATCAAATCCCGACTGAAATAATAATATAATGGATTGTGGTCAAAGCCAAGAAGGGAAAGATAAACTGAATAATTCTAACAATATTGCCTTTTCAACCTTATGTACAGTACAGCCAAAACTAAAAAAAATATATTGAATACTGCAAATAAGCTTGGTCATTCAAAAGTATATACAGCAAAAATTGGCAAAGGATGCTTCCAGCATATTTACAGAGATATATTTACACAAGAATTTTGTTCATGGAATCATAAGGTTTTTATATTTACATTGTTCAAGGACAGAAAGCAAGGGGAGGAGAATAAGGAAGCAAATTGGCCTCTTCAACTCATCACTCCAAGATAAGCAGCCACAGATGCACAACTTCACTCTTATCAAGTCCTTGTCCGGCACAAAAACAACCTCCCCCCCGCCCCCCCCCACCCCCCCCCCTTTCTTTCTTCAATTCTTTCTTCTTTTCTTAAAATACCCTTTTTTATTATTATTTTCTCCTTTTTTTGGATTTTTTTTTTATTTTTATTTTGCCGCAAAACAGCTAGGATATTCAACAAGAAGGAAGCATCTATAGAAGACCAAGCTCACAGAATCAGTAAGGAGCAGGCATCACACTTCCTGGAGAGAGGAGAGCCACTGTTCAATGTAATCCTTATCAGCTGCACATTCGACAAACATAAAGACTACGTTAGATACCTAATTATATATGCACAATCTGGATGAGATTCAAATAAACAACTAGGTTTGCATATAAATATAGATAAACATTTGCAGCAAACAAACTGAAAAAAGTACATACACACAGAGAGAGAAGAAAAAGAGGGGGGGGGGGGGGGCCGTAAGCGCTAACTAAAACAAATGATATACTGCTCGTGATCAGCAATATCCTTCCAAGGAGACACAATTGAACAAAAGAAATAATGCTGGGGGCCAGATAGAGATGCATTTATCAACCAGAGGTCTAAATACATATGACTATTGGATATGGATGGCCACATTGTCCAACAACGGCAGATATCCAAATTTTTGGTAGAAAACCCCTACTACTATACTACATGTAGGTATATCAACCATTAACCGCCTTACCGGTAATTACAATCACACTATTCACCATCATAAATGCTGTAGTTTAGCATTAATATAAAATGATCATTCCTAAACTCAAACACAACATGTACTACACAAACTACAAAGTTTGTATGTTGACAAACAATTTCATAAACGACACGTTCACACAAAAAAAAAAGTCTCTTTCTGTAAGCAGGAAAGCCTAAGACAGCGATGCATCATACAAACATCAATCTGAGCCTTCTCAGTACAATGGCAAGACCGCTGACATGATGAAGAAAGAATAATACTGAGTGAAGCTTAAGAAAACTTGCACATCTTGCAAAGAAAAGCAAATTGGAATCAACTACAATGTTTACAAAAAACAGGCATTCAGTAAACCAAATGGCAAACTGCAAAGGACATGTCAATGCTGGTAGGCAGTTAGGAATTTAAACACATGGCGTATGAGTAGCCAACTATCACTTTTAAAAAATTCCAGTAGCAAAAAAAAAAGAAAAAAAAAGAAAAAGAAAAAAAGAGGACAACGACAACAACAACAATATGATCAGGTTTATGTCTTCAGACTCGTGTAGAACCTACAATTTGTAGACATGAAGACGAGATCTCAAACTCAGATGCAATGTGCGTTACTCAATTGTTCAAAGTAAAGGGAGATTAGTACATATGTAAACTACTGAATGTGAAATTGGGTATTTTTCATATATGAAAGAACAAAATGATCTATGAGACAATTACCTTTCATACAAAGAGAAATATAACTAGTTAATCGTGTGTTCGTGCATGCATGAGGGAGGGCTGGTGTGTGCGCCCCAACTGAATAATGGTTACATATTTGTATGTGTCAGACACAGATTGACAGGAGTCCAATCCTGGGTATAGTGGAACTACCTGTTGTTTGAAAAATGTCTGTGTAATCAAAGTCTAGAACAATTATGTGCCAATAAGATGAACAAAATAGTGACTTATTCAACCTTTTGGTTAGGTTCTAAAGTGATATCTGCTCGAGCTGCTAGATTTGAACAAAATAGTGACTTATTCAACCTTTTGGTTAGGTTCTAAAGTGATATCTGCTCGAGCTGCTAGATTGCAGGAAAGAAGAAGAAAGAGAGCTACATTGGTTAGGTTCTAAAGTGATATCTGCTCGAGCTGCTAGATTGCAGGAAAGAAGAAGAAAGAGAGCTACAGCAAGGAATCAAATTGGTGAAGTTGCTGAAGCCGAGGACAGGACTTCTGTGGTCAATGTGATTCAATTGGAATGAAGATTTCACATAGAGTTTTATGTGCTTTGTGTTTGATTGGAAGAAAAACATCTTTAGTTTTTAAGTTTTTCTACTATTTTGGGATATATGTAGTATAAGCTGATAACTTTTTTACTCTTTTTAGGAGTTTGTATCCAGTGGTATATACAGGGGTGTTGTTGCAACCGTTATGTAGTCTTTTGTTTTGACCCTTAGTGCATACTCTTGGTTGGGAGTGTGTACTATATTTGTAACAATCGGTTTATTTTAATTTAGCTGGCTGAAATATCTTTGTGATATTCCATCCTTTTTCTCAAAAAAAAAAAGATGAACAAACAAATAATTATATTAATTAGTTCCATTCCTAAGTGTTAAATTATGGTGTAATGAATTTTCATATCAGAAAGCATCAGCCAACAATAGAGGCCAATGTGACTACCCTTATTATTTATATGCCAGCACCAACATTCAGTGATTAAAAAGAAAGATGTGGTTTTAATAGCATATATAAGCAATAATATAAGCAAATCTTGTCCCAAATGATTTTGATCAGTTAGCTGAATACTTTGTATTCAGTTAATGCGTAACTTGACTAGCTTAAAAACTAACAGCATGACATAGCATTCTCAAGAGAGTTTCTGAGAATTTTTATAACTGAAGTGTCTGAGACAATCCAAAATTATCATTATTTTCGTAAAAAATATATTCATAGCTTCCTTGTGAGATAAAGGAGTAACAAAATATTAATCCAATTCAAGCACTGGCCATCCAATTTGGATTACTATTCTCCCAAAAACCATTTAAATTGCTAGTTTTTCTTTAAAAGAAAGATACACCACCGCACGCATATTTTCAGATTGATGTACTAAGGTGAATGTCTAGTGATACCAAGATCAAACAAACATTTTGACCTACGAAACTTTTCATAGCACAATGAAGTCTGTATTGCCACTCGATGCACTTTTGCCATCAAAACATGTTCCAATATCACTACATGAAAACATAGGAAGTTGATTGCAACTTCAGCACCCTAGGCATCATAGACACAGATTCAGCATCAGAACAAGCCTCTACCAAGTTCACCGAAAAATAAATGACGCGTGGTAATAATATTAAATTCATCAGAACAGACTGGAACCTTAGCGAAGAAGATTATTAACAATCATAGACAAATATAAACATAAGAGAATAAATTATGAGGCAGAATATCTCTATATCAAGCTTTAGAAAACTCTACATCACCAACGAGCAGGATACAGACTAAATTAATGAGAAATGATTCGCATTTTATTTAATGTACAAAATTATCTGAACTAGCAAGAAAAATCAAATCAACAGCTAAAATCTCACCGGAAGAGTACACATTCTGCTCGTAAACTGCACCCAAGGCCCCACTTTTCATTGCCTCCACCTTCTCGCACCTCCCCCTCCCATAACAAGGCACCAACACAGCAAAGCTATTCTCAGCATCACTATCAAAATCCGACCCATGAGGCTCCAACCACCCTACCGACCAATCCGAATCCTCCGACTCCGAACCAGACATGCACCCTCCATCCGAAGGCACCAAAACAATATCATACTCCCTATCAATCCTCCTCCTCTCCTCCCTGCTCTGCCATTTCCTCTTAACCCTCCTCGTCGACGACCGAATTCGTGGCCCAATCGATGAAAACCTCAAGGAATCGGGTTCTCGGTAGCCCGAAGGGAACTCAGAGGAAGAATTCGGGGACGTGTTTGGGGTTTCGTGATCTTTTGATCCCCATATCCAGTAAGAGAAACGAGTAAATGCCACAGCCATCCTTTTCTCGATCAATTGAGACCCTGATCAAAGAATTTGGGGAGAAAAGGATCAAACTGGGGAATTAAATGGAATCTACCGACGAATCATTAAATAGAAACCGATAATTGTGTAGAAATTAAGCAAAGTGGAAAGCGAGCACGAGCTCAAACTTTATCTCAAGGAGGGGGGGGGGATATCAAAAGTCGCTAAAAATAAGCAGAATCCCTAAAAAGAGCTAGATCTTGCTTCTCTTTGCAACCAATTCGCATTCACGAGATCAGAGTGTAAAGGCGGAGGAGATGAACCCTAATTTGATCACAAAAAAAAATGGGGGGGAAGGGCGAGAAATTGCTTAAAATAACAGGAGAATTCCAAAAAAAAAAGAACCTAAAAATCTTGCCTTTTTGTTCCCAAATCAAAGAGCACCACGAGATCAATAAAGAGACTAAGACCGGTTCTCGTAGAAACAAAAAAAATCTAATAATTTGGAGACGAGGAAAGGCGTAGGAAGAAACAACCACTTAACTTCTTCCGGTTTTCTTCTCGTTTTCTTCAGCCCGTTTTATAGGCGTCCGATCTGCTCCTCCGGGGCCTGCGATGCAATCCAACGGTCCGTATTTTTTTACGATGCGTCGGGGAGGATCTGGACCGTTAAATGCGGGGCCCGCGGTGAAGCCAATCATTCAGCGGGGGACGGAATCTCCCCAGCGGGTGACCCGAATTAGTTGGTCGCACTCGTGGCGGATATGTGGGAGGCCAGGGGCTGGTGGGGTCCACTCAAGTATTTGGCTGTGTTCTTGGGGATTTCTCTGGGTGGGGTTTTTATTTTATTTTATTTTTTTGGGTTTTTTTGCCCCCGTATTAATTCCTTCGACCTTCAATATCTGGCAGCCGGTAGTGAATCCCGTGATAAGTACACTACGTTCCCTCTACACTAGTGGGTCCGGGGACCTCCTCTCAAGTTTTCGCAAAATTAATGGCTCATTAAACAAATTCACATCTTTATCCTGTAGTGCAAAAATAATTTGGAACATAGTAATGTAGTTGGCATTATTCATTTGGAATTAGCCTTAAATGATTAAAAATTGTTAATCGGTTACCAAACTATCTACTCCTCTACACTCATAGGAGGATCTAAAGATTCACTATTCATGCCACAGCAATGCTATAGTGAGTTACTGTAGTAGCATCACTGTAGTACAGAATAGAATAGTGTAGCGCTTGTTTTAAAAATTACTGTGGCGTAAATTACTATAGTATTATTACTGTAACAACAACTGTAACACAAAATAGAATACTGTAGCATTTACAAAAAATTTAAGATAGCATTTAAAAAAGAATTATTGTGACAGAAATAAAAAAAACGGTCGTGCTTTGCACGGGGTGCGCACTAGTTATATTTTACTATAACATCTCTATCTCTTTGGAGGGACCGGTCTAAAACAACCCATAATATTTGCAGGGCAAAGTAGATATTTCAATAAATTATGGGACTATTTTTAAAACTTAATAGCATTTCCAATGATTTGAGGAACTAATTTCAAGGTATTGCAGATTTAAGGGAGCAATATCCAAAGAATATTTTTAGGTTAATTCTAACTAAATTACACTCTTGGAACCACCCATACAATACTGTTCAAAGCAGTGGCGGACCCACCCTTGTTCAAAGTGGTTCACTTGAACCACCTCATACAAAAGTTCTCTATAGCCTAGTGGTATTGTAGTTGGTAACATTTTGTAAGAGGTCTGGAGTTCAAACCATCCAACCTTCGAAAGTTTCTCTTTTAGGCTTCTTTCCTTTTACCTCCCCTCTATTCTTCTTCTTCTTCTTCTTCTTCTTCTTTTCCTTTCATTTTATCCCTTTGTTCTGTCTACCTCTTTAAGGCCTTCTATAAATATTTTTGTTTCTTATATATATAAGTCAAATCATTGTTTAAAAATGATTGTTTTTCTCTTTAATAACCCTTTCTTCATTTTTTTTCCCACCTGCTATTATTTGAGAAAAAAATTTAGTGTATATTTTGAACCACCACCAAAAATGTTGTAGATCCGCCACTGGTTCAAAGTGTGGGGTTCTTTTTATTTGTGTAACTTTCAAAATTAATCATTTATTAAGGGCCCCAATAATTTTTTTAAACGGGCCTCACAATTAGGTATAGTAATTCCAAAGTAATTATCACTGGATTCCTTAACCCATCTTTTTTTTCCAATTAAATTTTTTGTCTTTTTTGTTTTTGACCGGAAGGTTGGGCTGGGCCCGCCAATGATTGCGTGGACTAGCGGTGCAAGGCAGTGCCACGTAAAGATGCACTATGACTGAAGTACTCTGGACGAGAAAGAATATTTACGAAGATTGCCATGCTACGAACGTTGCTTTTTTTAAGTTTTTTTCGTGGGAGCATGTGCATATAACGGTCATTTAACACGTACGTGGATTGATGGACCTTTGTTTGGACCTGTTCGAGGCCCAGTCTTGCAAGAAAATACCACCTGCGGCTGCGTGCGCTTTGAAGTTACAAGTGTTTCGGGGATTTTTGTATTTTAGTTTGTGTCATCGAATTTTGTACATTCACATCATAACTTTGGTTATGTTGAAGTAATACGCATTTATAATTGCCAACTTTCAACAGGTAATTGGAGAGAGATAATCGAGCCTTTCACGAGAGGGCTGGAGAATTGTTTGGAAATTTTAATTTTCCTCTTTTATGATTCAGAACACCCCAATTCATACAGTGTTCCTCATGAATTTGTGGTCAAGGATATAGCCTGCTTAAAACTAACAGATTATTTAAGCGAACTCGAAATCGGTCCTCTCATAAACTGAGCGGAGAGCTTCCCTCTTTTGAGGCCCATACTCAGCCCAGTAGTTAACCTTTCACGTAACCGAATGCCGGCTAAGTTGGATAGGCCCCAAGTTACGAGAATTTTAAGGTTGTGCTTGGCAAATTGTACATAACTAGTTTCAGGCCCGTGCGAAGCACGGATTTGTTTAATATACAAAAATTAATGTAGCAAAAGAATATAAAAAAAATAATAATATATAAGTAGTGAGAACCGATACAAATTAAGTTGCATATATAGTTTGGAAAATTAGAAAGTTTGGAAAACTTGAATAAGTTTAAGATCATATATAGTTTGAAAAATGTAAATGTGTAAAAACGGTATTCAGAAATATGGTGGGAATTAGTTTATTATTTATAAGGTAGAAAAAATTTAAAATTAAAGTGAAATGTCAAAAAAGTACCAATACTGGGTAAACTTAAAAAATTTGAAAAAAATGAATGGTTTGGAAAAATGTAAACATGGGAAAATAATATTTGAACAATTTGTGCGAGTCATGTCAATACTTAAACCGTTGATAACTTTCCAAAGAAATTGGTGAAATAAAAGTGAAATGTCAAAAAACAAAGAATATATAATACCTATTATATAAGGGGTGTATGACATCCATCTGACGAAAATAAGAGACAGTGTAATACCTAAATCAAATAAAGTCAGTGTAAGAAAAATTGTATATGATTGCAATTTAAGAACATCATCAAACTATAAGAATACAGCATAAGAAGTACTCAATTAGTTAAATAAAATGCAACTTTCACATACTCTATATAAACATAAGAAAGAACAAAAATATTAAAGTGAAATGCATTGCCATTGGAGAAAAATAACAAAACATAATATAAGAGAAATACATTCTAGTAAGATTATTCATAATTGAAGTAAAATGCATTTCTTCACCCAGCAGATTTAAGTCTTGTGCATCAAAGCGTTCAATCCAACAACAACGTTCAAAACTCCGAATCTTTATCTTGCAAACAACAATAAAAACACAAACTCAAATCATCATTTATTGATATTCATAATTAAATAAACAAATAATTAAAAAAGTATCTCATAAAATGACAAAGAAAGAAAATACAAAAGCATCCAATAACTTATCAGCCCATTATAATCAATTGCTCTCTCAATTTTTACACAACTACATTCGTTTGACTTCAAGTGAATAAGCTAAAATATGCTTTTATATGTGAGCAAAATAAAGAATGTAAGATCTCTAGGACCGAATGTAATTCATGCATAATAAGAAATAAACTTAAAACTTCATAATATAAATGATGTTACATAATTTTGCAATAATTTATACATATTTTGGTACTATATTTTAGACTTACGTTGGAATCGATACTTTTTACATAACAAAAAAGTCTTACTGGTAAGCTCAAATTTTAAAAACATATATAAAAGGTAGGAAAATCGCCCATAACTGAGCCGACCTATTGTTTGAAGTTTCTTGCATTATAATCATATACTGATCCCGATCTTGCTCTATTTTGATTCTTTATGTCTCATCCATGATTACTTGAAATATTAGAAAAAAATCAAAATGTTTATTAAAACTACATACCTTTTTTACAAATTCCTCCTCCTTTTGATATAAAAAAACTCCTCCTTTCCTTCAAAATACTAAAATATCTTTAAAATTCAGAACAAACCATCTCAGAACACCATCTAAAGAATAAAAATTAAAAGAAAAAATGCTTCCGGTTATATTAGAACAATTATGGGTATAAAATTACGAAAAAATTAAAAAAAAATGCTTTTGGTTTAAGATTCACATGATCAAAACTATTATCCAAAACTACCCAATTACTAAAAATTCAATTATTTCTTCATGAAGGATACATCAAATGTAGCATAATCCACATCTACCAAGAAAAAAGGCCAGTTACTGGAAATAGAGCGGCAAAGGTCAAAAGTATCAGATTCAACCATCTCAAGCAACAAAACTGATAGAATCTTAATCCAAAAAGAAACTTTGAATCAAACCCGTGTGAATTCCCATCAAATATATCCGAAGAAGTCTGAAATTGATGTCGAACAAATTCTAGAAACTGATATTCCCTCTGGAGAGTTTCTAAGAAACATTAATATGGTTGAGGAGTTTTGTACTAAATTAAAGTTTAATATGTGATTTTAATTTCTCCTGGCATTCAAATCCTTGAATTGCAAGCACGCTCTTTGTTTAAAAATATTTGTAAAAATGAGTAATAACAACACAAACATAGATGCAAATGTAACTCCATACTCCCTTTAACAAAAAAAAAAGAATTGCAATGAATTATCAATCAATGACTTGTACTATTAGACTCCTATTCTTCTCCTTTAAATTAAAATTTAAGTTTGAACATTAGACAAAGATAATAAAAAAAAATTTAAGTTCGAACGATGTACCATCTTCACCACCTTCCTCCTCCTCTCCTCTAAAATCTGAAAAGTTCTTGAATATTTAGAAATAAATCATCTGAAAACTCTAATTAAAGAACAAAATACTAAAAGGAAAAAACGATTCTTGATCCACCAAGACAAATACTAACAGAGATAAAGAATTTCAATGGCGCAAAGTGGTCAAACAGTTACCGCTGAGGCTCTTACTTCGTCGCCACTGAGGTTCTTAGTTATCTGGCCGGAGATTTTCAGTCGTCGTCATCAGCCGCTGCTCTGCTAGCTACCATCGAAAGACTTTGGAATTGAGTCTGGAGTTGGAATAAAACAAAGTGGGATTTGAGAGTACAATGAAAGAAGACACAAAAAAAGAGCATTGATGGTCAATTTTGAAATTGGAGATAGATAGCAGATAAGACGGTGGATTCTAGATTCCTAGATTGTGGTTAGAGACTTTTTGAAGTGATCTTAAAAATGGGTAAGCAT